AAAAGTGTCACAATGAAGCATAAGAACAATTTGAAAACTAGATTTAGTACACTTTATGTTACTGCTCTGATAGGACTAGTATACTAACATAGTTTATTTTATCAATAATCTTATGGCATTAGATGGTTTTTATTCAAATCTCAATCATGAATCAACTAATTCTGTGGAATCTCCATTTTCAGTTTAAAAGAAAAAAATTAAAAGCTACAGCATCTACTCTTTTTAAGTAGCAGGGAACCCTAAGCAAAGTTGTCTGACAATAATCTGAAATCTCAAAGTTCATAGGAGAAATTAAGAGAACCTCAAATACATTACTATGCAAAAGTTGATGGCAAAAGGTAAAGTATTTTAGAACAGGACTGACATTCTTTGTGAAAGGACTTTTGTATTTCCCAGTGGAAGAAGCAAACAGTTGAAATGTTCTCGGCAAGAGATTTTCTTTAGAGCATATTCAATCACATTAGAGGATAATTGCTGCCTCTTACTAATAACCATGAACCACTTGGAAGAGCATCACTGCCTCTGGAATACACAAGCAGTTCTGAAAACACTCAAACTCTAACACAGGGAGTACTTGTACCTGTGGGCACAGTCTTTTGCTCTTGCCATTAAACACGAGTCCTGCTTCTTCTTTCAGAGTCCATGGAATACTATTGCATTTTGTACAGTAGAGTTCTCCAAAGCACGTGAAGTACCTTTCAGACAAGAGAATGATTTTTCCCGAGTGAAGTTCAGGTGCTGTAAAGCATGCACTAGAATTCTGCTGTGTGGCTTCACACTTGGCTGAATGCTATGACACAGTTACATGAGGTATTCTCAGTCATACCTCTAAAATTTTATTTTCAAGGATTGAATACATGGGTAAAGGCCATCAGAAGTTTATGTTAGCCTTAAGTTATTGGTAGCGTCAGAGTATTTTTACTGCCGCCAAAAGAAACTTGGGCTTCAGTCTGCCCTAATGCCCCCCGTTTGCCTTACAGTGACCGAAACAAGTCATAGACCAAATTACCATGCTGAAGAGGTACCTTCCACAGTACAGTGCCATCCCACACTGCTCTCTCTGAGGCATGTAAATCCTAATAATATTTTGTTTTCATCTATTCTACAGCAAAACCGCTCTTGATCACTACTGAATAATATAAATGGATGACATGAGAATATTTTTCCGTACATAAATTGATGTAATACAGACATTAAAACTGCTTGGATTTGACAACATAAAATAGTTGTTAAAGCGAATCAATGAAATCTTCATTTACCAGTCAGGTAAATTAAACAAGAGAATTTTGCTGTTCCTAATGGTCTAATCTTTTTAATGAACAGGTTTCTGTTTCAGACATCACTCTGGTATAAATGCACCCTAATAGCATATTCTAGACTCTGAAGACTCCTTTTTTTTTTGTTTGTTTTATTTTATTTTATTTTATTTTTCTCCTCTGTCTGCTTTCATAAAAGAGAAAACTTACTGTATTTGTTTTTATATTGTATTTACACCAGATAGTTCACAGATTTGTAAAAGACAGCTTAGAAAGTAAGGCACACACAAAAAAAGGTTTTGTGATGCAAAAGAAGAACACTTCCATTTGAGTCTATGCGGAATTTTCTTTCTCTTTGACAAGATTTAAATGAGTTTCATAAGAGTACTTTTACCTTACACGTTTAAACTACAGTGGCATTACAGGATTTATAATATGACTCAAGTAAGCATTATCGTGACTTTTATTGTTTATTATATTATATAGTAGCAAATGTGCATAATAGACCATATGCTGGGAAGGTTGCTTAGAGACCACTAGTCCCCTTCCAGTCTGCAGAGATTAGACAAACAGCTCCTAATCTCACCAGTATTCATCTTCCTCAGTCACTGGAATAGCATGTTCCCTTCTTCTGCCCTCCTGCCAACCTGGCTCTGGTTAACCGTTTCAACAGAAAGCTGCAACCCCTTTTCAGAGCACATCCTGGCCAGCTGGTGAGGATGCTCTCACTGTCTCCACCAATAAAGACACGAAAGGCAGCATCACCAACAGAACTTTGTTCTTTGATGTTCTAATGCTCTGCAACAGGGCACTCAGGAACCCCAATGAAAAGAAATGTCTGCTGCAAGTCAGGGTTTAAGTTCCAAGTGAGGGCAGAAATTCAGGCACACCAAATATGCATTGTGCACCAAAAAGCCCCTTGCTCACTACTGAGACTCTTCAGAAGTTCATTGAACTCTTTCCTGTGGCTTTCACATAGACTGTCTGAGGAGGCTTGGATCTTCCCCCTGGCATTTATAACTCAGGTTGCATTGATTTATTTTAACCTGTATCTTATGACTGAGATAGGTGAGCATGTTTTAGATATTTTCAATAATTAAAACTTTTAACTTATTTTTCATCAATACTCTCCTTTTTATAATTTACAAAAATTACCAATATCAATTACCCATGTGTTTTATTAAACAAGCAATAGACTCTTTTCGATGACATTTCTGATCCTCCACTGAATCCATATAAACCTTTGGTATCTAAAGAATTTGGAGCTGGGAGTTCCAGAGCTTCACATCACACACACCGCATGAAGAATCATTTTGGTTTGTTCTGAACTGGTCATCAGGTAAGTTGAACTTAAAGTAAGTTGATCTTAATTCCTTATCAATACCAATTTTTTCTTCGTTTGGTTTTCATTTTGGTTTGTTTTATTTTGTTTGTTTTGTTTGTGTAGAAGGGTTTTTTTGGGCTTTCTCTAATATTCTCTTGACAATGAGCTTGTTTGGTGAGAGTGATATTCACAGATGCTGAATTTGGGAAGAGTTGCTTTCATCAGATCGATACTGATCTAGTGAGTTGGCAATGACTAAAACATGGCTTCTTCCAGTTAACTTAATTTGAGGCAAACTTCCACAGTGTTTGACTTAATAGACTGCAATTCATACAACTCCTGGAAGATGTGTCACAGTTTCTGCTTTCTCAAGCTATACAGAAAAGAAGGAAGAAGAGTGTACACTCCACTCACCCCATTTTTCACCTGTATGAAAAAACAGTGGAGAAAATAGCCCAAATCAGTCTCTACAACTTTCTTATAATTGAGAGCAAACACCTGCACCTCAGTTGCCTATTAGCTTATTTTGATAGAAAGGAAGAAGAAGGGAGCATGCATTTTCTGTCAACCACCAGTGAAGGAGAAATGAAATATAATCTTTTTGAGGCAGGAGGAGACAGAGGTATTCCCTATCATTCACATGCAAATACTGAATGAGTTGAACAGTCTCATACGGTAGGCCTTGCAAATAGTATCCATTTCATTCCTGGTAATACTGAAATTTCGGAACTTTTATTTCTAGAAAAATAATGACTTAATAAAATGAATTATTTTTTAACTATTACTTTTCATTTCTGTCTGGGATTTTAGTTCTTCAATGCCAAATATTATGATTTAGTGTAGTTTTATATAGGCACAAACTCACAGAGTACAGATCTTATGCAAATATGTTGAAAATATGGTTTATTTTGCTCACAATACAATAAAAACTGAAGATATATTTAGGTTGTGTTTAATGCCTTGTTAAGCTATGTACTTACTTACACATGAGCTTTCCCTATTCTTCATCTGAAATCACCCTAGAAAAGCCTAGTCAAGAGAATTTATGGGCTACGTGAGGCTGAAACTCAGAAAAAAGTATGTGTGGTAAATTCATTAATCAATGAGTGTCGTTTTTACCATCTTATTTTGTGCCAGATACTGAAATTAGATCTGTTAAGGGAGAATCTTCCAACTCCTAAGGAGCCCTACTGAAATTACTTCAGCCTACAGATGACACTCATAACCTTTTATCCCACTACTTCCAGAAAGCCACAGTTGTCATCTGAACTACACTGCATTTGTGGAATGCCATGTTACTTCACATTTCTCACTAAGGAAAACAAAGTCACAGATGCACATGTATTTAAAGGGATCTAAAATCTAAATTTCATTTGCACCTTGAAGTCAGTCTTTGAACAGGCAATCTGAGGTGAACGTGTTCAATTTGAGGTGAATCTTACACTGACTAAAGCATGAGTATAAGGTACTATATTCCATAGCAATGCAAACAGAAAGTATAATAGGAAGGAGTCTTGCAAAGAACTATTAAAATGCCATGAATTTAATGAAAAATGTCTTCTGAAAGATTGTAAGGAATTAAATTTCTTTACATCTGCTGCAAGTCAGTAACAGAAATTTTAAATACAGTAACTTGGTAGATAATTGAACAGATAAGTACAGATAGATTTACTAGAGAAAAATACTTTAGATATTAGTTTGGTAAAAGCAAGAGACACCATGTTGATTTCAGCTGCTGACTGTGGTGTAAATGCATTCACAGTATACAGTATTCATAGTACCAGTTATTGAAGACAGGGACTGGCAATAGAGATCTGCACTAGAAAGAAACCAACATACTTAACTGTACATATAAATTAGTTCTAAAGTCCTCTAAAATAAAACCTAAGTGTGCAGTAATAACCTCAAACTTCACTGTTTTGCTAAATATTCTGTAACTTGAAATTTTCTCTAACAAGGAGTTCTCTTGACCCTCAAATTAATTAGTCTGATCTCTAATTTTAATTTTAATCTTTCCTAAACCTTCTGGTAACAGTGAATTGCTTGTGGAGAGCACAGAATGGAATAAAACAGCTGGACTGAACTAATGTGTTGGAGGGAGGAAAAAACCTTTGCAATTTATTAATGTATTCAAAAGACTGTTACAAAACTTTACAATTTAATTATTAGAAGATTATAGAACTGCTTCAGTGCTTCTGTACTGTGTTAAATAAACTGTACGTGCAAGGAGTAATAAATGAAATTGTTAATTTCAGTGCATCCTTGGGGAATAGTAGGAGGGAGAGTTTACATTATTTAGAGCTCCAAATGGATTTGAGTTTATATACAGTAATAAATCTTAACTACATTGTTAATTAACCCTGTCTCAAGCCCCTTTTTACCTTAGGAGTTGAAAGACAGTGTCTGTTAGGATAACTCACCATTCAAATGCTTAAAGATGTTTAGGACTGGGAGAATTTGCCGGTAATAAGGCACCAAGGCCTCCCCCACCATGTCAGCTGATGCCACCAGGTGCTGGAGGATTTTCAGTGTGCTGATGAGGACGCGGCGGTTACGAAGGTTCAGTGCATCTGTGATGCAAAAAGAACAACAGGCAGAAAGTAGAATTAATTTCTAAAATGTAGAGGGAGGGGGAGGAGTCCTCTAATGGACAAATTTAATTAAACTGTACTCTGCCGGGGATTGTAAGTGGGCCTTTATTAGCCCAGCTTTGAAAGATGGATTGCAGTCCTGACGATATAAAACACTGCCTTGTCTGATTGTTATTTGTTCCCACAATTTGTGCTGACTCTTCAGTAACCCAAAGAATGCAGCTCATTATTCCCTCATGCTGCCTGTGTAATACTGGTGAGGTCCAAACAAATGAAAAATAAATGTTCAGTAAGTACCATTTGGGGCCAATGGAACTGTTCAACTGCAAGACAACCTGCAAAGGTTGACAACAGATACATTCTAGTGCAACAATTAGTGTTTGTATGTTTGTACTCATTTATTTCACGATCATTTTATTCATTCAACTAACAATTCCTACTATTCTGAGAATCAGTACAATGAAGCAAATGTTTATAGAAAAAAAAACTACAAAAAAACCCCTGTAGGCTTTTTTTTTTTCAAAAGAAAAACACTCTAGAAAAAAAAAGATTTTGTCTAGCCTACTTAGATTTTTCTCTTAGCTTTCAGTGTCACGCTTCTAATCTTATGACACTTTGACATTTCATAAATACCTTTTTTTCTCTCCTCTTTTAATTTTACTAAAAGCAAGTACTTTGCATTCTCTCTTATAATTAAAAATGAGTCATGCTTTTTATTTTTTTCCTTGCAAAATCCATCTATTTATAAAAGCTTCTCTGAAATTATGCAACTGGAAGTAGCTGACAAATTTGGTATGCTATTATATATTGGTCTAATTCTCCAGTGTTCTGTCCACTTACATAGATGTTTACATCATTGCACAGAGAAAGAATTGAAAAAGATAAGCTCATATTCATTTCTGTGTTTTATAATCACAGAAGTATATAAATATGTGACTCAACATATCATAGCATGACACTAACTATAAGCATTTAGAAAAATTATAAAGAACACACCAAAATTTGAAGATGAGTTACTAACAACTTCTTTAAGAACTGCCTCTTCAAACCAAAGTAATAGGACTGAAGATGTTGCAGGAGGGTTGGAACTAGATGACCTTTAAAGGCCTCTTCCAACCCAAAACCATTCTATGATTCTACAATTCTATGATTCATTATTTCTGGTGCTGAGTTTTGTCAGTGCACAGGAATGTCTTTTCATAAGGAATGAAGTAGTATTCTCACACAGGAGCAATGTCGTTTTTTCCATCTCTTTAAGCAAATGCACTGTACCTCACCCGCTTCTGCTTCTTGTTGCATGTCTGCTGAATGATAAAAATCAGAGTGAGAGCTCCAAAGCAAGGGCAGGGCAGACTGGTTGAGTCAATGTCTAGAGACAACTCTTGAAAATCAACTAGTAAATAAGGTCCCTTTATGCCTCCTAGCATGCTTGTGAACAGCATATTGAAACTACAGTTAGAAAACAGAGAGCCCAAAGTATAAAAGTACTATTGCACATCATAGTGATTCCAAGTTAGAGAAATACTGCTAAATTAAAATACAGACTGAATTCCTTACTTCTTATTTGCTAGTCTCTATTGTAGTCACCAGGCTGCAGTTAATTTCATATTGTCTCTGAGTTTATTAATATGTCGAATGGAAGCCCACCAATGCAGCATGCTTACATTAAGTTCCAGCAAAGAGGTTGGCTATTCCAAAATATGCTTTTGTGGGTAGATGTTCTAAGGCTGTTTTAGCAAAGAGAGATTTCCAGACACAATTTTAAAGATTAGGTCCAAGTCTCAGGTAGGAAAATATTCTCTTACAGAGAAACAGGCATTATTCATTTTCATAAAGGAGTGACTGGAAAAGGAAGCTCTGGGGTTCCAACATATAGATTTATTCATTACTAAATTGTCATACACATAAATAGTAGCTAATGGAACTTTTAGGAAAAGTATCATTAATGCTTGTATTTTAAGTACAACAATTATGTCATTCATAAAACCATGAATGAATATTTATATTCACTTGTATGAATGAATTAATATAAATTAATAAAACTGATTATTCACACACACACTAATAATTAACTAAATGACATAAAAAGTATCATTGACAGAAATTACAGCTTCTTAATCCTTAACCAAAAAATTGTACCGACGTCTGGGAATAGTTCTTCCTGACTGTAGAAGCTGTCCTAGAGTATAAGAAACCTTATTTTGAGGCATGCAGTGTGTCATGTAAGTGGAAATGGCTGTCCAGCTATCCCTAGGAGGAACTTTTGGGTGGATCCCATTTGACGCCACAGACTTCAGACTTGTCTCTGTCTAAGTGGTGCAGCAGGTCCCTGACCATTTCCTCTTCAATTATGGTGGCTTCATTCTGCTCCACATCCATGTCTCCAACTCAGGAGATGGGGTATTCCAAGAACAATTGGTTTTACTCCTAAAGACTGAGGCAAAGAAGACATTTTGACACAGGTACCAGCAGGCCTCATGTCATTTAAATGGACCCATGATCAAAAAACTCCAAATTCTTCCAGTGACATCAGGCTCAGAGCCAGGTATTGATCTGCTGACTCTTCCTGCTTCTTCCCTCATCATTCTCTGCAACTGGAAGGGACTGATCCCACTCTTCATCCCTTAACCAGCTGTCCCAAGGCCCTGAAGTCTCTCGATTGTCCTCAGACTTCTTGTTTAGACTTCATCACTGCCTACCTAAAAAATAAATAATGGATAGTAATCTGAGGGCTGTACCAGGGTAGGAAGCTTTCTCTTCACATCTTTAACCCAGGCCCCAGGGAGGCATCAGGCTTTCCAAAGAAGTGGGTCCAGTCTGCATATTAAGCCTTCTGTTCCCTGCTGAAAGGACTTTCCTATTACAATGGCAAGTTCTTTTTTTCGTTCCAGAAGCAGTTTTGATGCAGGGCACAGTTCAATTTGTGACACCTTCATGCTAGCTGAACCATCATCCTCATTATTGTTTGGTACCACTTCCAGAGCCTTTTATCTATTGTATAGGGGCACCTGGGAAGGTGGAGCAGTCCCAGATGAGATGGGCCTGTTGCACAAGTGAAGGAACTTGTCACCATTACCCCCTACCTCTTGAGTCACTGTGATCACCCATGCGGAGAAAGGATAGGGAATTCTCCATATCACACATCCTGTCTGCCTGCTGTGCCTGTCTCAGAGAAGGTAGGGTGCAATTCCAGTAGTCTCTTTCTCTCACTCTCCTTGATATTTCTCAACCTACTGACCTCCTTCAGGAACCCTGTCACTAAGTAAAGGAGTTCCTCTACCTGGGCACACCTCCCGCAGCTGGGCTCACTGCTGCTGCCCAATACTGGTATAAGAGTAGGACACACATTGCAGCCTGCATGCATATAGATGGAGATGGATATGATAGAACCAAACAGACTGAGAATTTGAGCCTGAATCCCTTCAAATTGCAGAAATCTGAAGTGTGTGTTAGGAAAACACTTGTAAATATCAAAAGTGAAATCAAATTGACTACAGAACTGTTGTTATTCTTATTAAATATTTGGACTGTGGCACGCATAGCAGTCAACCAGCTCCTGGCTTGATTATATTGGGCATTTTATAAACATTCAATTAGAGGCAGTACTTGACCTGAAGATACATCAATTTCAAATATCTGTTTATCTTTTAAAAATCTCGTAATTATTTTCGGTGTGCTACCATCACTACAGACCATTCTCTCATGTGAATCAAAGGAAGAAAATTTTAATGCAGTATATGAAAATAGTACATTTCAACACATTGGAAAATGTCACTGATATCCTGAATTTACCAGAAACTGAAGAAAGTACTGGTATCCTTACACAGGAATAAAGCAGACCATTTAAGACTCTTGGTACAGTACAGCTACATAGCCCAAATGAAGGAAACATGCATAATATCCCAAGTATTCCAATTTACAAAGCATGTTAGACTGTTGCCTCTTGGCTCAGAAGCCTACTGTAAGAGATGGATCTTCACAATAACAGCAAAGTGAACAACTGGTTTGCTTCTCAGCTAAAGACACCTTCCTGCTCCTGACTTCCCTGGCTCAATGGTACATATTTCACTTTGGTCATCTAGACTACAAGCTATGAATTGTAACATTCTCTTAAACAGCAACTTGGACAAAAAACCCCAGCCCAATACATTGGTTCTGTTGCTTGGTAGTTTTGATGTTTTCTCCTTTAATGGTATATAAACTTGAAGATTTCGCTTGTGATTACAATACACATTTTTCCAAGAAACGAGCAACCCTCCAGCTTAAATAATTGCTCAATTGAAGTTTATAATGAAGTATTTTTCATTCAAACATATTTTATTTTGTGCAGCTACAGTTTTTCCAAATAAATATTTTCTGAAGTTCATCATAAATTTCTTAAATAAAAGAGAATTTTACAATGCTATCAGGTTAAATATCTGATGCAAATGCTCAGTATCTGAGTCAGCTCCGTGTTTCTACCATTCAAAGCCACAATAAGAGATAATTATGAAATTTGAAAGCATATTTGAAAGACTGAATATTTTTGGGATGGAAGTTTTCCAAAGTGCTGCTTATTAGTTTGTTAGCAATGATCTTATATAAAATACAAATTCATTGCCTTCAGTGAATGTTAATTCACTGTATTTTTAATTTCAGTTACATTTTATTGGCAATTGATGTAAATTTAGAATGTTCTTTTGCTAATTTCCCTTAAGAGCAGAAACTTTCCTTAAGATATATACCACCTGTTTGCAATAGAAATAATTATTTTAAAACATTCAAGCCTTTTAGTTGGGTAACATTTCTAACACCTCAAAGAAAAGACCAAGAAGTTATGTAAGTTTATTTTTTATATGTATATTTTATTTTTATGTGGCAGTTTGGAAAATCCTATCTCAATCTGAGATGTTGTCTGTAATAGAAACCAGAGTTCTCATCTTTGGGACTGATAGATTTTATAAGCCAGGAAACATGACAGCATTTCTCCCAGTACGCAG